CTGCCTATGGCAGGGGAGTTGGAACTGGATGATCTTTGAGGTCCCTTCCAACCCAAACCATTCCATGATTCTGTGATTCTATGACTGTACTGAGACAGTCACAATGAATAGTCTGTGTCCTTCCACTCTGGGCTGGCTGAATCCAGGGGCATTAAAGGATTACCACTGCTGTTGCAGCATGGAAGTCCCAGTGGCATGTAAAATGGCTAGTAAGGCTGACAACAGAACAAAACACCGTTCTCCCACTGTTTTTCCTCCCTCAGAGCCTGTGGATAAGGTGGCAGCAATCCGCGAGTTCCGTGTCCTTCACACTGCCCTGCACAGCAGTCCTGCCTACAGAGATGCAGTGAGTGGAGCTCATACTTGGCCATCTGGGTGTCTTTTGTCTGTCCCCACTTTGTGGGAGAGTCCCGGAGTGGAGCCTCGTTGTGCGGTGCTGCTGACCTTCCCTGATTTCTCTGGCAGGTCTTCAAAATGCTGGGGAACAAGGAGTCGCTGGATCAGATCATTGTAGCTACTCCTGGCCTCAGCAGTGACCCTGTTGCTTTGGGTGAGTCCAGATATGATCCAGAGGATCTGAGGAAAGCCAGATAGAGATAGTCAGTGTTTAATTCCTGACACGGGGAAGGGAGAGCTCCCCTTCTCTGGAGAAAGTGTCTTTTTTGATCCGTTTGTGGAGCATAAGACTAAGTGCCTGCTCAGGTGTCGGAGTTGTACTCTGTTGGTAGTGTTTGGGGGTGGGCGCTGGCTTCAAAAAGATTAGGGAACACAGAACCCAAAGGAGAGCAGTGGGGATGGATGTGTTTTCCCTGCTTTTGGCCTGGGATGTTACTAGGTTTCTTGGCACATTGCTATGAGGCAGGTGGGATATGGGATGCAGTCACAACCTGGCTGGAGTGAGCTGGGTGCTGCATCTGATCCTGCCCTTAAGTGGAGCTGTCTGTGCTGGAGCACAGCTGTGGGATCTGCTGGGAAAGCCCCAGCCCTTGGGGGTGTGGCTGTGATTGAGAGTCTCCAGAAAGATGTAAAAGTCTTCAGAAAGAACAATAATAGAGTATTTATGGTGTCTGTTAGTGACTCAGTTCCTGAAAAACAATTAATTCTTTTGGTTTTTCCCATGGCTCTTGTTTGACTGGCTCCGGTTTCTTGTATCCTGTCTTTTACTCGTCGTGTTTCCTGGTCCCTCCCAGGAGTCCTACAGGACAAGGATCTCTTTTCAGTGTTTGCAGACCCCAACATGCTGGACACGTAAGTTCACACGAGCCGGCGCAGTGACTAAGCAGTGCCTTTGTTGCACAACTTCTCTCTGGGTGGGAGAGGGAGTTCTGCTCCTGCCTGCCAGTACAGGTACACCAGGCCAGAGATTCAGGCTGGGACTCTTCCTTCTCAGCAGCAGGAAGGAGGGAACTGATACTTGGATACACGTTTGCCTCCGCTGTTGGGTTAGACCTAAAGATATTTAGTGGGAGACAGGCCCATGATTGCATCCAGATCACGGGTTCAAATCCCAATCTGGTTGCTCACAGCAGAGATTTCATCCCATGGGAGCGTTTGGGGGATGTATACAATGGGAGGGTTGGCGTGGAGTCGTGAAGGAGCCCCAGTTTCTCTGCCTGTGTGGAACAAGGAGGGGAGGTGTTTGTCACTGGATGGCCAAAGGCAATGTCTGAGGTGGTGATGGCTCTGCCGTTCCTGACAGAAGTTCGCTGCTGGTTTCTTAGTTTCCCTGTGTACATGATTCATTCTTCCACTCTCTCTCTCCAGGCTAATCCCAGCCCACCCCGCACTTGTGAATGCCATTGTCCTCGTCCTGCACTCCGTGGCTGGCAGCACCCCGCTCCCAGCCCCAGAGACGTCCTCCCGCGGCATGTCCTCTGGCTCCTACCGGGACATGCCAGGTACGTTCCACCACACGGATGAGTGGGGAACCCGCGGAGATGACGTGCTGCGGGATTCACAGGCAAATCTGTGCTGTACTGCCAGAGTCTTCCTCAGGCTGGAAGGAGAACAGGTTTAGGTTCCTGAGCTGGAAACACGCACTGTGGTTGTATAGATTTTTCACTGGGTGAGACTCATCTCGGGTATTTTGGCCTCAGGACCTCTCCCAACCAAGCATGTGTAATGCTTGTTGGTAGCAGGGTGCTGTGACCTCTGTTTTGTGCAAACGATGGGCCAGACCTGTCTTCTGCTGACCTGCTGCACGTGAACTTGTTGGTGCTGAGGCCTCTGTCCTAACCAGTGCGTTAGCTGGGGCTGAGCCTGGCTGCGTGGCCAAGGACTCCACGGGATTCTCAGATGGTGCCTAATTCCTGCCAGCACCCTATTTTCTGCATCTGTTTCTTCTTTCTGTTGCAGGTGGCTTTCTGTTTGAAGGTCTCTCTGATGATGAAGATGACTTCCACCAGGTAAGAGACCAGATTGAGTGGAACAGCTGTTCCAGACTTGGAATATAGGTTTAACTTGTAGCCCTTAAAGACTCCAAAGGTTTTCTCTCCTCCTGCCTCATGAACGACACGAGCTGCTCTGGCTCCTAGGGGTATTGTGAAGACAAACATATTGATTGTGTTGTGCTTCTGCATGTAGGGAGGTTTTCCTCTCTGAAGGACTGAGTATTTTGTGAGAGAAATTGCATATTTAGGCAGAAAAAGTGACTGTCAACAGCTAATTGCTTTGTTACAGGCTAATAACACTTTGGTTTAAGCTGATAGATGATATATTAAAAGGTTTACTGCTGGTTTCTGCAGCATTGTAAAAGCTGAGTTTGTGGAAAAAAGCACATCCAATTCTGCCGTGTTTATTTTTAAAAGTTCCACACTTGAGTTTCAAGAATTGTAGGAAAGGGTTCCCCAGGGATGAGCACATGAGCCAGATTTTACTGGGACACGGACACCAACATCAGAGGCGGATTATTTTTTATTTCCCTCCATGCAGAGCACAAGATCTACACCATCCAGCAGCACTTCTGGTTCCCGCCCAGCTTCCCTTGGCTACGCCGGGGCTGCTGGACCCCGGCCGATCACCCAGAGCGAGCTGGCGACTGCGCTGGCACTGGCCAGCACCCCAGAGAGCAGCTCCCACACACCCACCCCTGGCACCCAGGTACAATGGCAGCGTGGCAGCTAGGGAGATCCTCCTGGGCCATAAAACCAGCGCTTGACTGAGCGCAAGCCCTGCTCAGGTCTGGGATTCCTCACTGTTTTATTTTCTTATGGCTGGGGTCTTCTCCATATGGACTTGGGGAGGCAGGATAGCGGGGGTACAGCAGGCGTTGCCCTGTCCTGACTCTGATTCCTGTGCCAAGTGTTCTCCTGATCCCTCTACAACTTATTTCCTCCTAGGGTCACTCCTCTGGAACCTCCCCGATGTCATCCAGTGTCCAGTCAGGAACACCCATCACCAACGACCTCTTCAGCCAGGCCTTACAGCATGCCCTGCAGGCCTCGGGGCAGCCCAGCCTGCAGGTCAGTGTCACAGCCTCTTCCTTCGGGAGCCCGTGAGAGCCCCGTGTCGCATCCAGTGTCTCAGGGGGGAAGTGGTTCCTCCAGCTGCCTCCTGTGGCTGGATGTTAAGCTGAAAGGGGCATCACTGGGGAGTGGTGCTTGTAGGAGGCATGATACTCATGCAGAGGAACTGGGTGGAAGCGGGAGGGTTGGGCTGGTGGATTTGAGGAGTTTGCAGCGAGACTTTGAGCTTTCAGAATCTGTTTGCACGCTGTACCTGTGAGCTAGAGAGAGGTGGGGGAGTGAGCTGTGGAGAAGTTTCTGCTTGGACTCTCGCACCTACCCTTGACTTCTTTTGTTTCTTGTCTGTAGAGCCAGTGGCAACCACAGCTTCAGCAGCTGCGAGACATGGGCATACACGATGATGACCTAAGTCTCCGGGCCCTGCAAGCCACTGGAGGGGACATTCAGGCTGCCCTGGAGCTCATCTTTGCTGGTGGGGCTCCCTAGCTTTTTGGGCAGGAGAGGCTGGACTGGTGAGTTGCACTGAGGCAGCTGTGACATTCCGTGGTCTGGGACTCAGCCCTGAAACTCTTCTCTGCACTGGGGTTCCTCTCTCCAGCATGGAGTGGTTGGGGTGGCTGCTCCTCTCCTTGCAGCGTGCTTCTGTTTGAGAGCACTGACCACGTTGAGGGTAACTCCTCCAGCTCCAGGTACCTCTCTCCAGTCTCCTCCTTCTGGCCACCAGTGATGGGACCTCAGAACTTTGTCCAGCATGGAGAAAGAGGTGGCTCTGTGTTGGAGAGGTGTGGCACCTGCGGTTCTGCAGTCTTAAATCTGTCAAGACATTCTCCTGCCCGTTGCTTCATTCCTGCCCACCTGATGTGCCTCAGTCTGTCTTGTTTTGCTGTTGTGGTCCCTCCGTGTTTGGCTGTATTAAATGGACTGTATTCACTTGCCTGTTGTTTGGGTTGTGATCTGTCCCGGGTTGTGTTCCAGATCTGCGAGGCAATGCGCTCGTTGCGTGAAGGCAACTGGAGAAAGTGCTTTGGCTGTTGTAGGAGTGTTGTGATTTCAGCAGAGGGCACCCCTCTTACAGAGCAAAGCTGTGTCCGCTAGGAGAGCAGGGATTGGGGTGTAGCTGACCTGCACAGCCATCCTGCCCTGAGTTAGGCCAATACAAAAGAGCTATTTGTTGCTCCAGATGTTCTCCAAGAAGGTGCTGCAGAGAAGCATCATGTCTCCTTCTCAGCAGAAACCTGTTTGTTCTCATTTGGGTTGGGTGAGGCTGGTAGAGTCCTGCACGCTAAGAACAAGGGTGTAGGAGTTCACGGCCACCACAAGGTGACGGTAAAAAAAGGCAAGCACAAGGGTTGAGGTAGTTGTCAGAGAGTGTGAGGTGCTGCCTCTGACACAGGTTAGTCCAGCTGTAAACTAAAGTGTTTTCCAAAATGTCTTTTAATCCTGGGCACCACGTGCGAGGTGCCCAGGACCTGAGTTGCAAAGACAATCAAAGGTGTTTGCCTGTAATTACAGTCAGTGGGAGCTGAGAGAAGCCAGCACCAGAGCTGGGCTTGGCTTCACTCCGATCGTACTGTTGGGATTAACAAGGCATGAAAACGGGACCTTGTTCGCCTGAAGTGTCACCGTGCGTTACCAGGGAAGCTAAAAGCAGGAAATGTTCTCCTACCTTCAGGCTGCTCTCACTCCCCTCTAATTCCTCTCCAAGCACTGCAATCCCTTGCTGATACGATCTCAGCTATCACCCAGCAAATGCTGGGTTGTTCTCTCCAGGGCAGCCTGTTGATTGATAGACTTTAATCCTGCCTAGAGGATTAAATCCTTCAGGAGGGAGGGACTGGTTTGATTTTTCAATATGTAGGAGATAAGGTGTGATGGACATTTTGATACACCCTTCCGGGTCACTGCCCTCATTACCTGCCTTGGAAACCCAGTCTGGATGATAGCTGTGATTTTGAGTATGAAAACTGATTAATTTGTTCCTGTCCGTGGTGCCTTCACTCTTTGCTTTGCCGGAGGAGAGGATAGCATATGCACAGCATCCTCCCTCCCGCCCTTCCCCACTGTGGGGACAAGCGCTGCTGTCAGCCCTCAATCCTCCTGGACTAACTGAGGATTAGCTGTATCGCAGATGCTGCTGCCCAAAGCTGGAGAGCATTTGCAGGCTCTCCCAGACCTGCTCAAGGCCAGCAGGACTTGCTTTGGCGCCAGGGTGACTAGTTTGCTTTGCTGTACCATGTCCGTTCTCAGGTTAGGCCAGCTTGGGGTTCTTGGTGGCCCAAAATGGTATTTCTTTTCTGTCCTCACCTTGCACTTAGTGATTTGATGGCTTCGTTGACCCACGTTTGTATTAGGTAGTTTGTTGGGGCTGTTCAGCCTGGAGAAGAGAAGGCTCCGGGGTAATCTTGTAGCAGCCTTCCAGTACTTAAAGGGGGCCTACAGGAAAGCTGGAGAGGGACTTTTTACAAGGGCGTGTAGTGATAGGACAAGGGGCAATGGCTTTAAACTGAAAGAGGGGAGATTTCGATTGGATATAAGGAAGAAATTCTTCCCTCTGAGGCTGGTGAGGCACTGGGACAGGTTGCCCAGAGAAGCTGTGGCTGCCCCATCCCTGGAAGTGTTCAAGGCCAGGTTGGATGACGCTTTGGGCAACCTGGTGTAGTGGAAGGTGTCCCTGCCCATGGCAGGGGGGTTGGAACTGAATGATCTTGAAGGTCCCTTCCAACCCAAACCATTCCGTGATTCTGTGATTCTTCTGTTACAATGGCTATTTCTGCTTCTCCCTGTGCCTCCGGAAAATTGAGAGTTGCCTGGATGTTTTATATGGAAAGAAGTTTTTTCCAATATCTTTCAGAGATGGCGTTCCTTGGCTTGGAGCACCACATCAGACGCGTTCTCCGTCTGAGCTGGCTGCAGCAGAGAAGAGCTTGGCACCGGCGTCGCTCACGACGCGCCTGATGCGTGCGCTTCGCTTCCCTCATCTCGCCTGCCTTTGGCTGCCTGGAATAGACGTGCTCAGCAACCAAGCAAATTTAGAGATGCAGGGATGGGAAGAGCAGCTCTGCCTGGCCCCTGCAGGGCTGGGGATGGAGGAGGAGGAGGAGGAAGGGAAATTTTGCTGCAGGAGCTCTTGTAGGAAAGCAGAAGCTCAGAGTTCCTGAGAACTGGCTCTGCAGCAGCCCGGTGAGCGTTGCCTTCCCGCTTCCTCTGATGGCTGAGTGCCTCCTGCTTCCCAGCTTTGGGATGAAGGCGATGCTGGCAGCCACCTCTGCGTGCAGAGAAAGCTCAGCCAGCACAGCCTCTGCCAAGGGGCAGAAACCGACCGTGGGGAGGCCACAGGTTTGCAGAGGCCCTATGGTAGGGTGAGCAGCCTAAATGTGGCTTATGGGGATGTAGCCTGAGGTCTGTTGTCCGAGCCAGTTGTCCTGACTTCTACAGTCGTTGGCGGAGCCTGTATCCCAAGAGGGATATCAAACAAAACTGGAATGACTCTGGGAGATGCTGGTATCATCGCTTGCTGAGAAAGCAGCTGAGCTCAGGTGCTACCTTGTCAGTGTCTTTGGGAGCAAATCGTGATGTGCTGTCTCCCACCTGCCTGTTCCCTGTGGTCCATCCTTGGCGCCGCTGCCCTGACACCTTCCCCTCCTCCTGGCTACTTCCATGCTTGGGTTAGAGGTGCATCCGTTTTTCTTGGGTCTTGGCTTATCCGTGTCCTGCCTGCGTGCCCAACCTCCACCACGCTCTGTTTGCCAGCTGAGCATCTGTGGCCTGGCCACGTCACCGGCACTGTCGCCAACTGAGAGGTGCTTGGCTGACCCTGTGGAAGAGGTGGAGGTCAGACCACAGTTCCTCAGCGTAAGCGCTTTCAGGAGGGACTTTCTGGTTCTGACATCAAAGAGAAATTTTTGGTTCAGTTCCTTCTTGGCCTTTAATGGAGCTGACAAGGGAAGCAGTAGCGGCTGGTGTTTTCAGTAGTGATGGCAGCAGCTGTTTGTACTCCTGTGTTTTCGGTAATCTCGTTATTTGTTCTGGTGCCTGACCGTCAGTACTGGTGCACTGTGGACACGTGCAGAGGTTGGCAGTTTGGCTGGGATCGAGGTTCCTCTCCATATGTGCTCTGCTTTTGTACTTTGGCCGTTTCGATGGCTTTTTCACCGTTTCCGCCTTGTCTCTTTTTGCCAAAGACAGTCCTGAGCTGACTGTCTCCACGGGGAGTGCAGCGGTGTTGTCTGGGGGTAATTTTCCAGCAAAAGGGTGAAATGGAGAAGGAGCAGAATCTCCCAGGCTTCACGTCCCTGATGGTTTTCGCAGTACCTCAGCCTGTGTGACTGCCTGCCTCCGTCTTCCTCCGCTTTCACAGTGATGCTGGAGCCTTCCCATGTGTGAAGTGAACGGAACTGACAAGATCTGTCCCAGGAGCAGATGTTGCTGGTCGAGGTATTAATTGTTTGTGTGCAGACACAGTCTCTCTGCTGTAGGTGTGCTTGGGTGGGTCGTTGGATCAGATCAGAAACTGCCAAAGTTTCAAGGTCTTTCAGCCTTGATTCCTGACTTCCAAGTGACTGATATGAGAGAGATTTCCCCTTGTCCTCCCTTTTGTCTCTGGTATTTCAGAGTAAATGTTTCTTCCTTGCTCTCCCAGCCAAACAGAGGCTCTGAGTGTCCCCTGCTTGCAGGATCCTGCCACAGGAACCAATTCCCTGTCTGGGCAAGGCAGCAGAGCACCTTAAACCAGCTTCACTCTTTTGCCCAGCTCCATCCGCAGATAAAAGCGCGGGAGCCAGAGGACTAACCATCGCAACGCCCCTGCTCATCACGGACATCTGTGCTGAGCTGAGGGAACGTCCTTCTCTTCTCCCCAGCACAGTGTGGGGCTACACGCCTTGGCCCCCCAGCTCCTCTCTGGCACATGAATTCAGAAGACTGGTGAAGGTGACATTCTCCAGTGCTCCAGATGCAGCAGCTCAGCATCTGAGCCGCTGTTGGGGCTGTTCAGCCTGGAGAAGAGGAGGCTCCGGGGTGATCTTATAGCAGCTTTCCAGTACCTAAAGGGGACCTACAGGAAAGCTGGAGAGGGACTTTTTACAAGGGTGTGTAGTGATAGGACAAGGGGCAATGGATTCAAACTGAAAGAGGGGAGATTTAGGCTAGATATAAGAAAGAAATTCTTTACATTGAGGGTGGTGAGGTACTGGAACAGGTTGCCCAGAGAAGTTGTGGATGCCCCGTCCCTGGCAGTGTTCAAGGCCAGGTTGGATGAGGCTTTGAGCAACCTGGTGTAGTGGAGGATTTCCCTGCCCATGGCAGGGGGGTTGGAACAAGATGATCTTTGAGGTCCCTTCCACCCCTAACCATTCTATGATTCTATGATTCTGTCTCCCTCAGGATTTGCTAGAACAGGAGTAAGCTTGGGCAGCCTGGCAGGATCCATCCCTATCATCAACAGCAGCTGGGAACCTCTCTGGCAGAGCCCTCGCCCATTGGCTTGCTTTTTTTACGAAGG